AGTAACAGCCACGGGACCAATGACACACAAAAATAAGAAACACGCAACCCACAAGCAAGACACAAAACGTCACTCAAGTGTCTTATCCACGTAGCCAAAAAAAAAAAGAAGAGGCCTTGTTTTTTTGTTTTTTTTTTCTGCACCTGGCACCCATCTTCATTTCCAACCCACTCCCTCAAAGAACAGTGAGCAGGTTTCTCACCACGTCGATGAAAAGAGGCATTAAAAGAGGTGAAACAAAACGGAAATAGTTTTTTTTTGTCACTTTTCCACTTTCTCCACCGTACAGAAGCACAGCAACATGCAAACACACGCATGCATACATGCCGAGACGCACAAACAAGCACATATTTCCCTTAAACTCATGTATGCAAGTAGTTACATGTCTCCCCGGTCTCCTTCTACCTCCCGCAGTATCTTGTCCACCTCCTCCGCTGTACGCCCTGTGCCACCGCCCTTAATACGGAGCAGCTCCACGTCGAACTCAAGTGGAGAAAAAGGGGGAATCGATGTGCCCGCCCCCGCCTCACCGTAGCCCAATTCATGGGGAATAAAAAGGAGCCAGCGGTCACCCTCACGCATTAACTGCAGCGCCTCCGCCCAGCCCTTGATAACCCCGCTGGGGCGGAAACTGATGGGCCTTCCACGTTCCCGCGAGCTGTCAAAGACAGTCCCGTCACGAAGTTTTCCAGTGTAGTGGACCTCGCATTCATCATCCGCGGCAGCGGCACGCTTACCAGAGCCACGAGCAATGCGCCGAAAAACCAAGCCAGACGGAAGCGTGACAGCGCCGGCCTGAGCAGCCTTTTCTTTGATGAAGGCACGTCCAACGCGCTTTCGATAGTTATTGAGGCGCACCTCTGATGAAAGAGTTTCTCCACTCACCGTTAGCACAACGCTCATAGACAAAAGCATCAGTGCTGCCATGAGGCACAAGGTCGCCCTGGAATAAAACTTTCCTGTCTTTGTTGGGCGTAGCTGCATCTCCTCCGCTTTAGTGCCGCTGCTGTTGCAAGCAAAATAAAACCGTTATCTATATAAGTTTGTTTGACAAGCACGCTGAAGCAACATGGTGAGCGACCAAAAAAAAAAAAAAGAGCAGATACATATGCAAATATAAAGTAGAGCAAGCAGACAAAAAAAAAAACTATTGGCACAACCCACACTAAAATACCAAGACACACTTTGTTTTTTTAGGCAAACACCACCAGCAACACCACGAGTTGTCTCTATCTATCTTTTCTCTCCTCTCTCGTCCATTCCAATTTGCCACGCATCCTTTTTTTTTTTTTTGCCCCCAGTAAAAGAAGGATGAGAACAATATTACTGCGAGAGCGCTTTCTTTCTTGTTTACATCTCAACTGTATCTTACGGCAGTCGCCCTATGGCCAGGTCATCCACAGGAGCGTAAAACACGCGCTCCTCAAACGTGTCAACGGTGCGCCATATTAAGAAGGCACAGTCACCAATAAGAAAGTAGATAAAGTACTGGCCATCATGGCCTACGTACGAGCCAAAGGAGCGGCCAACAATACAGTGAAAGCGGGAGCCGTATTTGCTGTCCAGCTCGCGTTTAATAAACTGGGCGATGGCGGTTTGTTCATGCAAGCCCAATTCACGCAACGCATACGCGGCGCAATCTACGCAGTCTTGCTGAAGCTCCTGCGACATGGCGGATTCCTTCACTACCGCGATGGTGCCCGCCATGCTCTCCTGTCTTAACCCTCTCTCGTCCTGGTGTGGCCTATACAACTATATATATATATATATATATATTTCACCTTCCCTGTGTCTGAGCTAGCCGATGGACCGTTCTATACAACTGACGGAGACGCCTATTTCAGTGGCATGGATTGAAACGAGCATGTGGAAGTCAAAAAGGATAAAGACGCAGGCAAACCGCAGAACATATAGTCAAAAACAAAAACAAGGTGTGTGTGTGTGTGTGTATGCATATATAATATCCTCCTCTCTTTATCTCACAGCTTATAGCTAGCTGAAAGCAGCCTGCACATCATATGTGCAGTCTAGCCTGGTAAAACCTCACTGTCTCTGCAACAAAGTCCCCCAACGAGTCCAACTTCAACCACACCTTTCGCGCACAACGCGGAAACTTGACGACACTTATCGCGTTCAGTTCGCCCTCCGTGCGGCGTCCCGACTTCTGGCCATCACCGCTAGCACCCGCATCATCCTCTGCTTCTTCAGGCTGTCTTCCGTGTGTAACTGTCCCCTGAGCATCCGGCAGAAACGCACGCCACCAACCCCCACCTCGCACAGCCTCTCCACACAGCACATGTGGAATGCTGGTTTCAATGTGATGCGGCCACAAATACGATTGCGCCTTCACCTCCAAACGATTGCTGACATTGCTATCACTACCATCGGTGTTGGTTAACTCGTCAATGGTGATCGTCTCCCAAGACATACCGAAGGAAGAAGATGCGTTCGGACAAGAGGAAACAAAATGAGTCACTGCAGAAGAAACATCAGTGCTTTTATTGATGTCATACTTATCGTCAAGGGTCGCCACAAGTTCCATTCGCTTCCTCCACCTTTCTGAGCCTAAACCTGTAGGCGTGTAGTACCCGTCCCGATCTTTGTCATCCACAGCTTTATCACTTTCCGCTTCTTCAACAGAGAATGCACTGCTCCTTTCCCGTCCTGTGCGTTCAGCATCGTCTTGGTTGCCGCTCGCGGCAGCAGATTCCCTGTCATCCATGTTATTAGCCCTGCAACTGCTGGAGTTGATTCTGTCCCTGACAGCACGCCATAAACACCAAAGTTCCGCCGATTTTCGCGCCTCATCTTTCCTCTCCACTTCAAGGCGGCGGAGTTCCTCTTGTGCCCGTTGCTGCATATCGGGTGGGGTTGCTGGAGTTAAAAGACCCTCAAGCCACCGCCGTTTCTCCTCGCGCCTTGCCAGACGGCTCTGCTCTTTCGACAGCAAAGCCGTACGAACAAACTCTACTTCTCCACGGGAAGTGATCGTTGAAAGCCAAGACGGCGTCACCACCGCACGACCAGAATCCACAGAATCACAAGAGTCATTACCATCTGCTGAATTTGCTTCACTTGACAGCGACACCTCCCTGTCATTTTCTCCCACATCATTAATTTTGGGGATCTGCTGAGTGACTGTCTGCGGAATGATATACGCTCCCCTTCCCACCTCTAATGTGGCACTCACGTCTGGATCGTGTTCCTCCTTCACAAATACGGTCTGCGACCTATCCACAGCACTATCCTTGACACTTCCGTGCGGCAGCTGCACTGCCGGATTCGACACAGACGACAGTCTCTTTGGTTCAGTGATCTCCCTACATTCCTTGTGATGTCGGGTACGTTCCTGTGCAAGCGCCTCAAATTTGCCACGCAGCATTGGCATGAGTGTGAAGGCCACAGCCCCCGCAGTTTCATCGTCCAAGAAGGCGAGTGGGTAGGAACGCTGCAGCTCCTCTTCATGCTCCAGATAGAGCTTCTCCTGGTCTGCGAGAAACTCCTGCTCGGCCACAGACGGCTCCTCTACGTCCTCAGCAGAAACGATGGCGTGACGCAGAGAGTGCCGCACCGCCGTCCCTCGCACCCTGTCACTGTTCTTCCGCTTACGGTGAATGCGATCAAAGTGCTCCTTGTCATGCGCGCGCTGCATTTGAAAGCGTGCCCGTGCAGAGAACACTTCATCCTCATGGTGTGACATGCGCTCTAAGAGAAGCTGGCGAAAGTTCCGCATGGCGCTCTCATACACATCGCTAGTTGAACACAAAGGCCTCTTCTGCCTTCTGCGGTACTTCTTCTTTCCCACATTATCGTGTTCTGCTTCCCACATCCTTTGTTCTTTGTTCTTCTTATTCTCCCGTCCTCTCTCCCCCCACCACGACACGTTTTTCGTGCCTTTTCTTTGAGAAAAGGCAACGCTGTGTTGCTGGACACCGCCGCTTACTTACTCCACTCTGCAGAAAGAAGAAGACGGTGAGGCGTTTCTTCACTCATTACCTCAGAAAAGGGGGTAAAACAAAAAAAAAACAAATAAAACGCAAGGCGCCAACAATAACAGCAACGACGACGTTTCCTCCAATTTGAAATGACACAAGAAACATATACTTGCTTTAAAGTCCTCTTCTTTGCGGCAAAAGCAACCCCCGCACCAGCACCACTACTGGTACTTCAATTCGTTCATTTCACTTGGCTCGACTTAGGCCATTTTCTTCGATGGTCTGGCTGCGCCCACCTCAACTCACCCGTGCCGTATAGCACCGCCTCCTGCGGAAACGCAGCCACTCAGCTTTCGCAGTCAGCGTTGTGGGTGCATATGGAAGAGTTTCATGCGAGAGTGCCGACACTTCTCCGGCGTTGTAAACGGTAAAACTCCTCCTGACGACAAAATCATCTCGCTCATTGCCCCCATCACGTCCGCCGGCGACTTCCAATTGAAAACAGGTGCCAAAAAGTGGTCATAGCGCTTAGCAAACATTTCCCCGTAGTTTTCCATGAGTTCCCACCTCAGTCTATTTAGCTGGGATTCGTATTCTTCCCGTTCCAGCGCGCTCAGAGGCACCTGCAACACCCGTTCACGCTCGCGACTAAGACGCATGTCTTTAATCTCTTGCTGCAGTTGCTGAATTTGGTTAAGAAGCCGAGTCTTATGCTCTCGTTGCTGTGTGAGGGCCTCCTCGTACTCAGCCGTTGTCTGCTTCCTCCTTGCCTCCTCCGCGCGACGCTCCTTCTCCCGTTCAGCATGAAGCTGTTCGTACCGCTCCTTAAGAAGTCGCAGCGCCTCCTTCTCCTGTTGCTGCTCAAAAACCTGCAGATGCATGTTTTCCATATCAGCTTTATCAGACTCTTCAGCTGCTTGCCTGAGTTCGGAGGCGACCTGTTGCTGGTGTGTGACCTCTTCTTCTAGAGACCGGATTTTCTCCTCCATCCGCACACGTTCCTCCTCCTGCTCGCGGCGCACCTCCTCCACAATTTGAGCAAGGTCGTCAGCGTGCTCTCTCTGCCGGTTAATCTCCTCCTCCTGAAGCTCACAGAGATCCCTTAGGTCAGCACACTGCTGCTGCAACTGGTGAATTTCACCATCTGTTTCTCCCCCCTCTTCCGTCTGCGTCGCAGCCGCGTTGTACTGTTTGCCTGTCATCGCCATCACTATCTGCGACTTCTCTTCCCGTTCTCTTTGCAGCTCCGCAGTTTTCGCATCATGCAGTGCAATGACGCTGCGAAGGCCCTCCTCCGCCTTCCGCAGCGCCAATTCTCTTTGCTGCAACTTCTCATGCAGCCGCGTCATTTCCGTGCGCAGTTTTTCCACCACCGCCATTGATGTAACGGTCTCATGCGGCGTGCCAACGTGTCCTTCTGCCTCTGGTGTGTACGGTACGACAAGTTCCAGGCGAACAAACACCCCCTGTCCTGCCGGACACGAAAAATATGACTTCCCCATCACGCTGCCATCATTACGGCCGACGGCGCCAAACAACTCTATACCCGCCCACAAGCCAGGGGCAAAGTCCGTGGTTCCTACGAAGCGAAGCACACCGCGGCGCCTCTCCGTCTGGGGCGGCACCGGCAACACAGACACGAAGTCCGCCACTTTGCATCTGAGCATCTGCGTCATCCACGTCAAGAGCCACTACCTCCCTCAGTTGAGCGTCTATACATACGAAGATTGCGCACACACGCACAGCAACAAGAACACAACTTGAGGTGTTCCACCTCTCCACCCCATGCAAGATTCCACCTCCTTTACAGAGCGGCAGCAATGAGAGAGGTCACCGGCATCAGAAGGATTATGCGCACAAATCACACAGACCAAATGAGAAGCGTAAACAAAAAAGAAGAAGCAATAATAAGCTACAGAGATAATAATAATAAAAATGAAAATAGGAAAAATGAGGCGTGGAATTTTCGAAAACCTGCATCGCACACGTGCCTGGGAACTGCAGCCTTTTAACACCCAGACCGGGTTGTCTTCTTTCCAATACTTCGCGTTCGCTTCCAATTTCACATAAAACACACCGGAAGAACATACTCAGGGATACAAAGACACACAAAACACACATCAGCAGGGATTGCAAGAAACGGCAGGAGTGAACGAGTATATATATATATATATATATACTGTGTAATTCAGCAGCCATCCATTGTCCTCTCTTAACATGCGGAGGAAGATGTCACTTTAAACAAGGCCTTTCATTCTGTCAAACACACACACAAGGAAAAAGAATGATGACGAAGTGACACAGCTCAGCAGGAAGAGAGGAACTGGATCAAAAACAAAAAAAAAACGATGCGCACCTGTGTCTAAAGTGGCACGAGATCTGGCGTACCTTTCGCTCTGCGGATGAAGAGTTGTACTTCAAGTTTGCAGCGAACAAAACACAGAGAGAAACGAATCAGTTTCGCACAGTTCTTTTTGTGTCGACTTCTCCAAATTTCAAAGCACTCATCCACTATTTTTTTTTGTTTTGTTCTTCTTGGTTTTCTTGTCCTTTGAGAGATTACGTTGACGAGAAAGATTTTGAGTACCGCATAAGCCACTTGAGGGTCACGTCAATGTTCGTGTAACTCTTCGCACTTACGCTATAACACGCCGTCTCACGATCGACTGCAAGCTTCGACAACTGCAACTCCGATATGACAGTTTCTGCAGAGCATGCCCCTTCCAAGTCGTTTTTGTTGGCAAGAATAAGAAGTGGAATTCCAGCAAGAGAGGGCCGGCCCAGTAAATCGTGCAGACTATGCCTCGCCTCTTCAAAGGATGAAAGGTCCGCTGCATCCACAATAAACACAATACTCTGCACGCCACGGCAGTATCGTTCCCACATCCCTCGAAAGCGCGGCTGCCCGCCGATATCCCAGACCTTGATGCTGACGTTACCGCGAGTGACTTTGCGGGTGTTGAGGCCTATGGTGGGAATCGCGTCGTGCAGCTGCACGGACTCCTTTCCTTCCGTGATGGCTGCCAAGAAGGTCGTCTTGCCAGCCCCCTGGAGACCGACAAGCGTGACCTCCATCTCCAACTGCCAGAAGAGGCCCCGGAACCAGTTCAGTATCCAAGCTAAAAGTCTCATCATGCCCACCACCGCTCAACCGAAGAGCAACACCAAAATAGAAACAACCCTCAGACTGTTTTTAACTGGCACTCCCACCCATTGGCAGTGAGGCAGACAACACAAAAAACAATACGAAAAAAAAAACGAAAATCGCCAGCATACAGTGAACTCACGGTAGCAGACACTTGCAGAGGTGAAGCAAGAGGAGGATGGAAGAGGAAAGGCGGAAAAAACAACAACAGCACGAATGAATCACCCAATAAGCTGATCATCTCTCAATTCTTCCCTCCTCATTCGGGGGAGGCAAAAGACAAAAAAAAACTGTAAAAAAAAAGAAGTCACAAAAAACAACAACAACAACAACAACAATAACAACCTCCCCACAAATACAAAGAGAGAGAGAGAGAGAGAGAAATAGAGCAGAATGTCTGAAGAAACAGCCCCATCACCCGCCTGTATGCATGCACTCGACAGCAACGCTCCTCACCCTATTGTCGCGGTAAGAGGAAAAACTAGGAAAAAGTAGGGAGAGACATTAAGTCCTTCTCAGTGATGACGCTCTGGAGCCTTTTTTGGATTTCCAACATAAACACCGCTCGTCGTTGTTGCTCCAAATCTTCTTGCCTTTTGCGCTCCGAGATCTTCTGCTCGAGTTGCGCAATGTCATTGGAAAGTTTTGGTTTCACCGTCTCGTCAATGAAGGCAAACCTCGATTCGTACTTGCTTAGGCGAAGGCGAAAACTGAGAAGCTCATCCTGAAGCTGCCGGCGCCACTCCCGCTCCTTTTCCAGTTCGCTTTGTAGGGATTGCACAGCTGCTTGCTGCTTTACTTGCGCATCTGTGTTCTTCCGCATGGAATCAGATAGTTGACGTGTCTTCAGCAATAAAGTCCCCCTCATTGGGCAGCAATTCTGCTGATGAAACGTCTCCCCAGCTTTCATGAGAAGGGCAACACCCAGAGGGGAAGCACACATGTCTTGGCAGTGGTGTACCCTTCTTATCTTTTAGTTCTTCTTGTGCTGCTTCTGCTTTGTACATGACTTGACGGTGTGAATCAAGAGCAACTGTTCCTGTTATCATTAGCTGGCCGCACAAGGAGCGCAGTATTTCGAGAAACCTTGTATACTCCGCGTTGCAACACGGGCGCCAAGACATGTGACACTTCCAGCAGAGTTCTGGTTCCCGCCCTTCCCCAGTAAACAGATGTCCTTCGCCCTCAGCTTTCGCAGCCTTTGCGCGGAGTCCCTTCTGGTGGGGCGACATAATATCTAATACGCTTTTTGACAAACTCCGACGCATTGCTCCACAGACCTCCACTTCAGCTCTGTCAGGCCCCTCATGTATGCTACCCGCAGAGACAGTGTGCCCATCATCATCCTCAACCTCATTGGCAAAAGCGGATCCGCATAGAAAAAGGCGGTAGGCCAGCTGAAGTAGCTGTGCCACTTGAAAATCTATATCGTTTCCCAGCGGTGATTTTACTTCCCCCTTCATGTCACGCTTGGATGCTTTCCAATCCCATCTGTTGGCCTCCTCGTTGAGTAAATCATTCGCCTCCCGCTGTACTTGGTAGCAGCTTCCGTTACAGCGGGAGCCTGGTCCCCGTCCCTCCGGCATGTGCGCACATGCACAGTTTGCATGTGACGTTTTCGTTACGTTTTCTATCTGACACGTTTGAAGACCAAACCTACCGTCACGCTCCGTGCATGTTGATTCTTCCTTCTGCTCCTGCTCCTTCTCCCCTTCCACATGGTCATCCCCAGATACAGGTCGCATCATTCGCCCCACAGTATTCTCAAGCAGCATCTCCCAGCGAAGAAGTCTTTCCTCTGCAACTGCAGGAGTATTGGAATCTCGTTCAGCCAGTGTATCTTGAAAAATGCGGGGAAGGTCAACAACCAACTGTTTCATCTGAGCATGCATGGCGCGACGCAGCTTGCGATTATCGTCCACTGAACGTAAAAGAGTCTTTTGCAGTACTTGCGCCTTTTTTGTTGTTGTTGCGAGTTCTTTTCGTAACACGTCAATCTCCGATAATCGAGCGGATCTCCGTGACTCCAGCAGTGCAGCATCGCAGATGTCTGCTATCCTGACTGACCCCCTTAGCTCTCTATCACTGTCAGCTTGCTGAGAAGACATACTCGCCAGAAGCACACGCAACTGCGCATTTTCCTGCCGAAGACGACTTTGTTCCAGCAATACGTCGTGTATCATTGGACCCCCCGCTACAGGAGAAGGACCCAACTTCACGCCCTTTGCAGAGGTGGGGGATTCGCACAGACCAGAATCAAGTGGAGAAGTTTCAGTACCACAAGGAATTTCCGGTTGCTCCCATGATTTAGCAGTACTCTCGTCATGAAGACTGCTTATCCCTCCTTGTTGATCGTCGTAATCGCATCGACGAAGTTGCCGCATGGGAACAGAACGCATATTTCTTCCTGATGATGGCGCAATAGGGCTAGTTATTTTGGTCACTGCATCCACTCTTGAGCCTACAGGCTGTCGAACGGCCTGCACATCCGTCTGCCTGGACAGCACATCGCGGCCATTATACTGGTCACTACCCTCCTCCTCAACGAAGGCAACTTCAGACGGCGCCAACGGACTAACTGAGAACTCCTCCGCTTTCGGGTGCCTCGGCTCTGTTGTTTCTCTTCTTTCTGGAGAAGACCACAGTTGTCGCTCCACCCCATCTACTGTTTCTTCCAGGGCGTGAAAAGGTTCATGGCGTTGCCGTTCCAGGGAATACTGACAAAGAGACTGTATCCGTGTCGAGGTTAGAGTCAAGGTCTTGTGGAAATTGCTTATCCCATGCTCCGTACCACATGTAGGAGATACATGCTCTAATGTAGGGTCTGAAAAGACGCAGGGCTGGCTCAACTGGTTGGATGCGCGCTGTGCAAACAGAAATGCACTGCGGGCCTGATAGTATTGATCCCAACCGGAGTTAACACACACAATGAGTAGGCATTGACCAATTCCTGCAGCTATGCAGTCAAGAACGTTAGTATTTTTTGCCTCAGCACTCATCCAGCAACCACTATGCTCCATGGAGGTAGATGCAGTGCATGAGACACTTCTAGCGGCGTTCTGAGACTGGGTGGAGACGTTAGCACCCACAGACCTTGACTCAGAGCTGAACTGCCGACGTCGTTCCTTCGACAGACGCAAATTGCGTAAACTCCGCTCTAACTGATGACGGTAGTAAATGTTGGACTCAAACAGATAAAGTAGCAGTGGAGACTCTCGCAGCGGTACCCAAGACACCTTGTTTGTTGTCGATGTCGTTCCTGAGGATGACACATTTAGAGATAAAGCTGGCTTTGGCGGTTCCTTCGCTCGCTGCTCACGGGGATCCTCCTCAGCATCGGTCGCAGAAACTATTTCGTTTTGCCACTGTGTACAGGCCTGAAGTGCATTGGCAAGAGCCCCCAACTCTTGTGCTGCTTGCTTTCCATGTGCGGCAGCAGCACTGTCGGGGAGAAGTATGATATGAAACCTAGCCTCTAATGAGGAATCAGCCTTCTGCCGACCCCGTTCCTCCCCAGCTCGCGCGGAACGCATCTTCCCACGTCGCGACGCTCCTAGGCCCTGTTTCGGGTGCTTTGAAATGGTAAACGTGAGCACCAAGGTGGACTTCACGGCGTGGTCTTCCCTCTCTGCGCTTGTACGCAACGCTCGTGGAGAGTCGATGCGTTGCAACGCACGCAGAAGGCACGTGGATATGCTGTCCCGACCCTCCAACAGTTGTCTTGTGGGCTCAACAAAATCTATGCCCTTCGGTTCATTCAGTGAGCGTCGTGGCTCCTCCCGCTTCAGCCGCTGCAGTTGAAAACTGTCATGCATAACGGCGTTAGGGTCCAGGACATCTCCTACCCCCCATGCGTGGTATAAATCTACAAGTGAGAAGCAAACCTCACATGTATTCTTCTCTGACGTCTGTGTTTCCGTGGCATTTGTTTCCTGAAGCAACGCCAGGGCGACAGCCTTGGCAAGATGCAGAAAGAGTGCACGGCGTTCCGTAGCGGAGCGACTACCATAAATAAAAACCGTTCGACTCATCAGCCACGTCTTCTGACAAATTTTCTGATGCTCGCTTGCAGACGCATTCTCTAACCCCCTTCTTTGAAAAATAACAGGTTCATCAGAATCCGCGGCAACCGGGTTTGTTGACGCTAGCAGTCGACTTTGCATTTCTGCATCGTTGCTACTCGTAGAGAGAAAAAAACCACGACAAAGATCATACAGCAAAGGGGCCACCTGCGTTACGAAGATACTCCCATGGTGAGGACTGATTGTAATGTGGCCAAAGCGAAAACGGGTTCCCGTCTCATACGACTCATGCGCAGCGTCACGCGCGTACTTTAGTGAGGCCTCAGTGGAGATGAGGGAGGCCTCACACGTAAGCTCGTTCACGATGAGGCAGCGATTCGGCAGGTGTTGCTCACTCTCACGATCGCGTCGCTGCGGCAGCGTTATGTGCAGGGCAGTGAGCATTAAACCTGCAGTGTGTCGGTCATGGAGCGTTTTCGCTCTCCCTTGAGCTGTCAAGACAGCCCCGCTGTTGTTGTTGTTGTTGTTGTTGTTGTTGTTTGCGCTCGTCTTCCCAGCAGACGGCGGGAGGCAAAGAGCGGCAAAAGACTTCGAGTGCAAGAAACTGAAGGAAGAAGCAGTGCAAGCCACACACGCAAGCAATCGCGATGAGGTGCGACGCACAGAAGTCACACGCAAGCAGGATCCCGCGGTGGCAGCGGTGATGCATCTAAAAAGGAATGAAAAACAGTGAACGAAGGGAAGGTCCCTAAATACGAATCCACAGCGAACAGTGAAAGGAGAAAAAAAAAAGCAAGGCATAATAATAATTAAAAAAAAACAGCTAGATCAGCGAACACACCTGCTAGACACACGGCATCTTCCACAAGGCACTGGGATCAAAGAGACACATGGCAAAACATCTTCCCCATTCAACGTGCTGCACTCACCTGCGCAATCTGTCGCCCGCCCACATGCAAACAAAGGTGGATAAAATACAAAAAAATTTCGCTGGCTCTCATCCCCACATCGCAGTGTGACGACAGAGAAGATTTGTTCCCCTTTCCCCTCATGCTTTATGGGGTGGTGTTCTCCTCACTTCGCGGCCCCATAACCGCCACCACTGTTGTTCCCGCCTTCCTTCTTGAAGTTGGAGAGGAAGTTCATTGACGTCACTGTGCTACGAGCTGCCTTGGCAAAACGTGTGCCGAAACTCTCCTCCGCTGTTTCTGCTGGTACGATCATCCCCGTTGATAGCCGTGGTGTTGTTGTTGTTACTGCTGCCGCTGCTGTCGTCGTCGTTGCCGTTGATTGCGCATTACCGCCGTTTCCAGCACGGCTGACCAAACTGTTGAACGCATTCGAAAACCCGCCGCTCAAGGACTGTTCAGACGTGTTTGCTGCAGTTGGCAAGAAAAAGTTCGAAAAATTGAGTCCTCCCGAAGCGGTGGCGCCTGCTACCGAGGATTGACCTGTAGTGCCCGTTGCGATGCCAAGTGAAGCTTCGCGCTGCCGATCACGCCTTGTGGCCTCCACCACACCCCTCTTGGAAAGATGTGCGATCCACGGCCTGACATCCTCCCGCTTTCGCCCTTTCAACTCCACAAGTCGTACAAAGTTCTGAATAGAGCGATCTTCAGGCAGCATGGCCTCGTAGTAGACATCCACAAACGAATCCACCGAGGCATCTAGTTGCAAAACCTTTAGGGCGCGATTTAACCGGTCAAACTCCCGTCGCACAAGTTTCATGTATCCTGTTAAATGCGCTGGAGCAATGCGGTCAGGATCATTATAGTTTGGAAGCTGCAAAAAAGTTCGCTCAAACGCAGCGGAGTCAACACGCATCAAACCCAGCGCAAAGTCCGGTGGCAGCCGACGCATGCGATACAAGGTGTCAGTAAACATGGGGATGACGCTATGTGCCACCTTATCAAGAAGAAAGCGTAAAATTGAAGACGGCAAGACCACCGAGCACACCAAAACCATATCGTGCAGCACAGTGCTCATGGAACGGATAGTTGCGGATTCGTCATGAATATCTTGTTCCTCGCTTCGACGGTTGACAAATACAGCATTGCCGTATTCTACAAGAAAGGGCGTCAAGTTTAGCTCTGTTCCTTGCAGGATGCATTGAATCGCCTTACTGTAAAGGGTAGAGAAGGCCTCGGTGACTCGGTCAAAACCGACTTCCTTCGCGGGAGTCTCGCCACGGGTGCAGACCTCGTCTCCCAAATCACGGATTGTAGACTGACAGAGGTCCGCCGTGTTGACGATGATGCACGCGCGACGCATATCTTCTTTGGAGATTGCAGGGCTAGGAAGCAGCGTTGCAACCGTTTCCGCAAAACGGATGAGGTGCTTGCGCCAGACAGCCGCCATGTCCAACAACACATCCTGCTGCGAAATGCGAATAGTACGCTTGAGGCTCTCCTTGATAAAAATAAAGAGATCTTCTGCCACAGGAAGTATGGCACCAACACGAATATCAGTCTCACTGTTCCACCCAGGCACAGCCGCACCCACCACGGCACTTGAACTGCCGGAGTTGCCTCTCTCCACCTCTGTGAAGGACCCCATGAAGGAATGTGAAAGGGCGTCATCCATCAGTTTGTCTTCGTTCCGCACAAAGAGGTCCATGTGCGCCTTAAAGGAGGAGAGAATCATGCCGTTGTACCTGTAATCCGGGAGCTCGCTACGCCCCGGAAATTCCTCCTTCCACGCCATCATCCGGGTGAGGTCACGCTCAATGTCAATTGTCTTTTGCAGGACATACGTCAGTACCACTACATCAATGTTACCAGCGGCCCCATGAAGAAGACAGTCAAGCTCCGTTTTTGTGCGAAGGCAAAACGTTACACAAAGCTCCTGCGGAACACACCAGTGACGTGGAAAAACACTGAGGAAAAGTCCTTTGTTTTGCTCCAGAAGATTACGAATGTAGACATACCGTCGTTCCGTGCGTTCCAATTTTGCGTCCTCTGATCCACGCTTAAAGCGCAGCGAGTACACCTCCAACATTTTCTCGATAAATTGGTCGCGTATCTTCCGAATACTTTCCTTCCCAAGTAGGTCTACCACCGCACAGGCCTCCGCCATCAGCGTTTCATCCAGAGAATCCAGAGAAATATCTCCAAACACCGTGTGACGAATGTAATGTTCCATCTGTCGGCATAATTGCGCCTGTTTATCGTTAATTTCCCTCACTTTAGGGAGTTTGTTCATGCTTTCAAACATGGCAGAATACTTCTGCGCCTCCATCAGCGCGTCACGGCACTGAATAAACTTGCGACTCTCAAATGAGGTGGAAAGGGCCTGTAGCTGCAGCATCCACAGCTGCATCGAACGTAGGGTGTTGATGCTTACAGTGAGGTTGTTTTTCGCCGTGTCCAACTCACGAATGTGATGGCAAAGCTCACGGACGGTATCTTCACTCTTGGCCGTTCTCGCCTTAATATCAGAAACGCGATCGTAAAGTGCGACCACGGCGGCCTTTGCATTATGAAGTTCCTTGTCCGCGGTGGCGGCATTGGTCGCCTGAGCCTCAACGGCCTTCAAAAGATCGTTTTCTGTCTTCGTCAGGCGGACGGTCATCTCTTCCATAAAGGCAGGGAGTGCGGCAAGGCTGGACTCATCCGGAAATCGGTTGTTGAGGTACCCCACAGGATCAAAGTCTGGCTCGTCAAACGGGTCACGTGGGGGGCACACCTCCGCAAGTGCCTTTTCAACGGCGTCACTGAACCGCACTGGGGGCATGCCAGCCGGAAACAGTATATATATATATATATATAGAGAGAGAGAGAGAACTAACTAACAAGCGATGAAGAGGCATGGTAGGACCCACAAAGAATTATACATGTAAGCATACATGGCGTCAACGCACACGTCTCATCTCGTGCCATATTTAATCAGCGCGTTTTACACGCATATATATATATATATATATATATACATAAATAATGTGCGTGAAGTAAAACTCCTAAAGTAGCACCCATTAATCTGGTAAAACAAACAAACAAACAAGCAAACAAACATCAGCACCAAAAGCAAACGAGAGACATGAAACGCACACGCGTCTATTCACAAATATGTCTTACGTTTACGCACTAAAAACTTCAAAAAAAAACAACAACCAAGGAAACTCACCACTAATAATAATAATAATGGCGCGCCTTGTGTGAATATCTCCACCAGTGCTTCTACCAGTTTGTACCAGCGTAAGAAGAATCTGTTGTTCTGCATTGCGCCATAGTTTTTTTTTCCTCTTTTTCTTTCGCTTCCTTGCTTATTCTTAATATATGCCTTCCTTCCCCCACTCACCGTTGTTTCATGATTACAAAGGAAACGCCATGGGGTTAGGAAACATGGCCCTTAGCAGCGCCTTTCATCCACTTGCATTCGTGGGTTCAACCTTCTTTTTAATTCTCCTGATTTCCTTATTATTATCACTATTATTTGTTGTCATTGCTTTCTCTCTTTTCTATTCATTGCATATACCTCCGGGTGGGAAAAGAAGAGCACCCACATGCGCAAACCACGTGCATTCTTGTCTCCCCTCATTCACTGCGTCCTTTCCAATTCACTCTCGCAATATCTCCATCTTGTTGTTGTACCTATTTTTTTTTTTCATTCACTTACTTTCGTGTGGCGTAGTCCTCCGTCATGCGGTTCACCTCACGCTGGACGTGCTCCTTATAGTCAGCAATGTCGCCATCAAACTTGCGGCAGTTGCCCTTGTCCACAATCCAAATCTCATCCGCAATCTGCGCAATGAGACGGAGATCGTGTGACACCACCACGACAGCCCCCTCAAAGCAGTTGACTGCGTCCGCCAAGGCGTCTATAGACTCAATATCCAGGTGGTTAGTCGGCTCGTCAAGAATCATTAGGTGGGGAGTTTTAAATGCCATCCACGCAAACACCACGCGTGACTTCTGCCCATCTGAGAGCGTAGACATGGGCGTCATTTGCATCTTGCCAGAGACCCCGAAACGTCCGAGGGCACTGCGCAGAATAGTTGGGTCGGAGATAGTGGGATATTCGTGACCCATCCATTCAAGCGGGGTTAGGGACATGTCAATTTGGTCTACAAAATGCTGGTGAAAGCGGGCAATTACACAGTGTGCGTTCTTGGCCACATAACCCGAAGTTGGCTCCAGTTCCCGACACATCAATTTTGTCAGTGTCGTTTTGCCAGCACCATTGGGACCTACAAGGCAGATGCGCGACTCCATGTCGATTCCAAGTTCAAGATCCTCAAAGAGAGGTTTGTGGCCAGGGTAGGCAAAGGAAACCTCACGAAATTGCAGCATCGGTGGTGGTAGTGGACCGGCGCAGGGAAATCCAAAGTTTACTTGCCGATCTTTGGCTACGGACTCGGTGAGGCCACCACGCACCATACGGGCAAGCGTTTTCTCCTTGGACTGCGCCTGTCGAGCAAGTTTAGCACTGCCATGCCCAAATCGGGCGATATATTCCTTCATACTTTTAATTTGATTCTGCTCCCACTGAAACTGACGCATCTGGTTGCTCTCCTTCTCCGCGCGTGTAATACAGTACTGGTCGTAATTGCCATCATAGTATGCCAGTCTGCCACGGCCCATGTGAGCCACTTTTGTGCAAACGTTATTCATAAAATCCTGCGAATGAGACACCATAAAGAGAATTTTTTTGAACTTGGAGAGATAACTCTCGAGCCACACCACGGCCTCAATGTCAAGGTGATTTGTGGGCTCGTCCAGCAGGAGGACCGTCGGGTTAATAAAGAGAGCTTGCGCCAATGAGATACGCATGCGCCAGCCACCAGAAAACGACTTCGTTGGCCGCCGTTGCATCTCCGGTGTGAACCCCAAGCCAAACAAAATTTTTCCTGCACGTGCCTCCGACGTGTCGGCGTCAAGTTCATCCAGTCTCTTGTAAATGTCGTCCATGCGCACGTTCACCGCCGCGTCTTCCTGGTCTGCAAGTGCCAACTCCTCCAACTCCTTTTCTAAGTGTTCCTTTTCCTTGTCCACAGACACCACGGCTTCAAGCGCCGTGACATCTGACGCTTCCACTTCGTGTGAGACAAAGTAGCGATCCACATGCTTTGGAAAGGGAATCTCGTTAAACCCAAGCACCTTCAGTAAGGTGGACTTCCCACATCCATTGGATCCCACCAGACCGTAGCGATGCCCAGCCACAAGGTTTAGCGTCGCGTTCTCTAGAATGGACACACCTTGATAGCTGATGTCAATCTTTTCAACAAGGATGTCGCTTACGCCATCACGAAATACGGGATTTGCAAAAGACACCATGGCCCCTGAACTCTGAGGCTCTTCTTCTTCAGCATTGGCCCGCAACTCCGACAATTTTTGCTGCTGCGGCTGTTCCGCCGCTGCCGCTGCTTCCTGCTTCTTCTTTAGATATTTTGGCTTCCCCATTATGATAATAATTATTTAACCCCTTTTATCGGCAACCTTTTTTTTTTTTAACGTGTGTGTGAGTGTGCGTTGTTTGACTGTGTGTGTGATGTGTGTTATATGTTTTGTATGCTTACCACCTCTAAAGAAATCCCGCGTACCGACTTGGGGCCAGCACAAATAGACTGTTACAGTTGGGGAGTGAACTCAGTGGTGCCATGGAGGGAAAGAGGGCAAGAGGGAAAGAGGGGGGGAGAAACACAGCAGCGAGGCGCGGTGGAATTTCCAAAGCCGAAGCCAAGCGACAGCTTCTTAGTCGCGGGAGGCAAACAAGCAAATTAACAAATGACAGAAATATAGATAGATGCGAGCGTAGGATTTCCAAAAAGGAAAAAAAAAGGATCATGACTCAATTTCTTTTTACCTGAGCGGTGGTATAAATGCAACGAAGAAGAAAAGCGAAAACAAGACAAGAAAGTGTAAACACTCCTCTTCACCTTTTATGTTGTCAACCCAAACGTCTTCTTGTCGTTACCGCCTTGCTGCCGTTTATTCAAGCAAAAACCATACGTCTAACGATGCATATCCCCTACGTACCTAATTACGGTCCGTCACCGCCATCTTTCTTTTTTCCGCTTCATGCCGCTTCTGCTCCTGTTCACTCGCGCGCAGGCGTTTAAGTTCCCGCTTTCTCCGCTCCGGCAAGTCTTTTATGTACGAGCGATGTGACATGGGAATCCACCGCTCGGGGTCAAAGCGGGCATCCAAGTTCTTCGGCGGACGCCGCATTGGGCGGCGCCGCGCCCGTTTCACCTTGGCGTTATTACCGTTGCCATCATCGTTGTCAAGTGTCACACGATGGTACCCAAGTGCCTCAATGCTATGCCGTGATGGTTGCTGCGATTCAATCTCGGCGATAGCTGATAAAGACATTTTCCTGTCCGTATGTGTACCAGTAAATCCAGCCTCAGGAATCGCCTCCATGCATGCCCGTGCCCCCTGCATGTCATAGTGCGAAAGGCACAACGCCAAAAGCGCCCTAGCCTCCTTGTCATCCTGCAGCACTGGCAAAGCACCCTGCGTGGCGCGGATGACATCCACGGCGTCTGCGTTCAGTCCCCTTGCCGTCAAGAATTGCACTGCCCAGAAAAGGATCGGCTTCACAACAGCGATCCCTTTCGGTGCGGCGGCAGCAAACTCAGTAAGCAGCTGCTTTGCCCCCTTCACGTCGCCCAATTGAACCTTCCATGTTGTCAGGGTCATCAACGTACACGGCTTTTTCAGGATATCATCTGGAGCAGCCGAAAGAGACTCAATGGCATGTTCAAGATCCCCATTTTCAAGAAAAATCTGTGCGGCGATCAGTGGCAGCAATTTCCCTACTGAAGGATCTCCTTGTTGTTGCTGCTGCTGCTCCCTCTCCTGACGTTGCTGCGCCCCAACGCTTTGCTGGTAGCTCTTCAGGTACTCCGTGAGATTCTTGTAGTCTGACTGGCGCTTCTTCTTACTATCGCGAACTGCCAGCGCCAGCTTGAGTGAATGCGTGAGATCAGAATCCGGGTATTCATTGGCAAGAAGTTCCACTTGGCGCCTCAATGCATTGAAATTTCTGGTATGCAACAGAAGCATCGCCGTGTTATACCGCACCAACAGACGCTGCCGGGATGTCAATCGATTATTCACTGCCGGATTCTGCGCCGCCTTGAGCTTACGATGCGTGTCGAAAAAGTCGCGATGGCGATGAATGGCTGTCCAGTTGATTGACGCCACCGCAAGAGTGACGGCAGACAAGGGGCGATACCGCAGCACCAAATTAAGCAGGGCAGCTGCCTTCTCTTCATCATGCATGGCGTAGTGTACATACGCCGTCTGAACCCAGATGCTAGCGACATCATTAAAAAAGGCACGCTCCGGCGAGCCCTTAATATCCAACAACGAGCGAAGCTCCATGTCGCTTTTGGAACAGGCATCCTGAAACGACCGCAGGCGGCTCGTGGGATAGGCTCGTGCACAGAGCGACTCAGCCTGTTGTAGCGTCTGCAGCGCAGCAGCGTAGTCCTGCACCACCAGCTGTGCCGTCGCCGCATTGTACAATAAATCTGCGGTCTTTTCGTCCGCCGCCCGCACAATCGCCTGAGTCTTTCGCGCGTCGATAGCGGAACAGGCAGCAGCGTAGTTAGTCAGTAACTCCGTCTTTTCATGCTCGTCCCGAAATTCCCCCTTCGCCAGCAACGCCTCGTAGATGCGGGCGGCGGCCCCGTACTCCTCAAGATGATAATGCACTTGCGCAAGAAGATGCTGCGAAGGCACGTGTTCCGCCGTCTGCGGGGCGTCGTTCAACAGGACACATCGTGCCTGGTGGTGGTCTAGCGCCCTGTACAGGCAGTAGGCCTTCTGGAAAGCGTAGTCCTGTGAGGACCGGAGCAGTGCAGGGTCCACAGCAGCAATCTGCTCAAGCACGGTAAGCGCTGAGGCGTGTTTGTCCTGATGCAAAAGACAAACAACTTTACAACGGAGGGCAAACACATGTTTGGAATTCACTGATAGAATCTTCTCAATTGCCGCGAGTATCTTCGGTGCGTCACTGCCATCCGCCAAAACGCGCTCCAGCTGTTTCTCCCACTTGGCCACGTCCGTCATAGTCGCCAGAGCAAAACGTGTAAATATTGTGTGTCTGCGTGCACAGTCTTCGTGTCCGCGTGATATAACTACGAAAGTCTCGCAAACAGGCGAAGCAAAAACAAAAACAAAAAACACCGCACCGCGGTCCTACACGCACAAAAGTGAGAAGACGGATGAAACAACGGTAAGCACACAGTTAACACAAGGTCAAAAAGTAAAAATAAAACAAATAAAAAAAAATGTCCAAGAGAGGCACTCACAATTGCCCACAGCATAGGAAGCAGGAAATGTAAAATAAAATAAAAAACACTCACCACTCGTCAACCAAAAAGATAAAAAAAAAAAAAACTACTGCGTTACGCCCGCAACCCCACCAACACAGTCACCACAAGTATGAGTCAGCTACAGCCAACAACAATAACGATACGACCATTTCATTCACCAGCAATAGCCCCAATACGGCGGAGAGAACGCCAGCAACTTATCTTGCCAACGCAGAAACAAAGAAAAAAAA